CCACAACCCCCATTATCCAACCCTTATACACGCACGCTAACCCCAACGCCTCTCCCTCACAACCCACAATTCCTTTTATCCAACCCTCACACACACGCTAACCCAACGCTCCTCTCCCCAACCCACACAACCCCTTTTATCCAACCCTCACACACACGCTAACCCCACCGCTCCTCTCTCCCAACCCACAACTCCTTTCACCCAACCCTTATACGCACACGCTAACCCCAACGCCTCTCCCTCACAACCCACAACCCCCTTTATCCAACCTTTACACACGCACGCTAACCCCACCGCTCCTCTTCCCTCCTACAGGTCCAGCGCTACCTCTGCGTCCAGACCAAGCAGATGGCTATCAACGCCCTCTGGATCAACCTCGTCGGCCTCTTCATCCTCATGCTCTCCTGCGCCTTCGGTGGGATGGTCGTCTACGCTCGCTACTGGGACTGCGACCCCGTCCGCTCCGGAGTCGTGTCCAAGGGCGACCAGCTGTTCCCCCCTCTTCGTGATGGACACCCTCGGCCAGTGGTATGGGCTGCCCGGGCTCTTCGTGGCGGGTATCTTCTCCGGCGCTCTCAGGTGGGTGTCGGGAGGTCTTGGTGGGGGGGGGGGGGTATGGGTTTTGTGTTTTGTTTTGTTTTGAGTTGACTTGTAGGTTTGTTTTGTCTGAATCAAGTTTTTTTCATTATGCATTAAATTTGTATAATTTTTTTCTCATATCTGCATTGACCTTTACCCAAACCGTGTATAAATATTTATCTTCACCATCCCTTTCGCAGCATACCCTTTTGGTTTTAAATATACCATTTTGGACTATGTATTTATTTACAATCTCTCTTACATCTGCATTGTATATCCACCGAAAGCTCTTTATCTAAACCATACACGAAATGATCTACACCATTCCTTCGTTATTTATGTCAACCATATCTCCTCTCTCAAATCCGCATTGCTGCTATGGGAAAGGCTAGATCAGTAGCAACTCGAGGTGTCATGGCGTCTGTTTTGATGAAAATATAAACCATTAAAATCATTATTTTCCATCCTTTTTTGAAAACTGAAGAGTCCAAAATGATCGAGCGTATTTACAAAGCATCAGTAATTTTTGTAACGTCATCAAAATAAACCCCATGTGCTTTTTTCCAATAAAACAGAATCAGACGCCATGACACCCTCAAAAAGGATGGAAAATAATTACTTTACCTGTTATATTTTCATTGAACAATCACCAAAACAGACGCTATGACACCTCCTCGAGCTGCTACTGATCTACCCTTCCCCACTGCCTCATTACCCGAACCACATACTTATCTTCACCATCCCTTTGTTCCCCGCAGCACCGTGTCCTCGGGAATGAACTCACTCGCTGCCATTGTCCTCGAGGATTACGTGAAGGCCGGCTGCTGTCCTGACATCAGCGAGAAGAAGGCCACTCTGCTCTCCAAGGTCCTCTCGCTCTTCTTCGGGCTTCTGACCTTCGGCTTGGTGTTCGTGGCTGAGCAGCTTGGCAACATCTTGTCTGTACGTTTATTTATTCGCTTATTTGGTTCTTATGTTATTATTATTATTGTGATTATTATTATCATTATCATTGTTATTATCATCATTATTATTATTACCATCGTTATCATTATCATTATCCTTATTATTATCATTACTATTATCATCATCATTATTATCGCGATTATAATGATTATTATCATTATTATTATTAGGTTGGTCGTGTGATTCTTGACTCCCTAGATGTTGGTTAAGGATTAGCTATGAAGTCTTGACGGATTTGTTGAATTAAGTTTAATTTCAAAGGATAGACATAATGTACATATTCCTTGATTACATGTATCATCTTCATGCAGATTAAAGACAGACAAAACAATAACAAAAGCACTGCACAAGTACTCTATCCCACCTCTCAGTTTTCCAAAAGACATAATGAATTACTTGAAGTTATCTGTTATTCATTCCAAGTTTTCCGAAAGACATGATGAATTGTACTTGTTATACTTGTTATCTGTTATTTATTCCATTTATTATTTCCTCTCTAGGCCGCTCTGAGTATCTTCGGTATGGTTGGAGGACCTTTGCTCGGAGTCTTCACCTTGGGCATGTTCTTCCCCTGGGCGAACTCGAAGGTAAAGTGGTGTCCTCAGTCGCTGGATATAAGACTTGGATGTCTTTTGTTCTGAGATATGGGGTAGTTGATTTTTTTGGTGCTTTGAGATGAGGAATTGGATGATTTTGGGCTTTATATACTTTGTTTTTCTTTAATTTGGTTTTTATTGTCATTTTAGGACTTGGTGTGAAATGTGAAATGTTTTTTAATTCATTTGGTTTTAATTTTTTTATCAAATCAATATCTTGCAACAACGAAATGTCCCTTTAGCACACCTCACACCTAATCCCCTCTTGCCCCCCCCCCTACCTCTTCCCTCTTGCTCCCTCTCTCTTAAGTCTCTCCCATTTTCCCCTTCCCCTCCAGGGCGCCTTCACGGGTCTCCTGACGAGTCTCATCTTCATGTTCTGGATCGGCGGAGGGCACCAAGTCGCCCGCTGGAACGGCCAGATCACCTTCGACAGGAAAGTCACGAGTATCGAAGGGTGTAACTTGAACGAGACCTCCGCCTTCTCGCCTCTCACCGCCGCGCCTCTTGTGGCTGAAGAGTAAGTCTGGTGCTGGTTTTAGGGGAAGAGTGTGTTTAGATGTTTAGATGTTTATATATTTAGTTTATTCAGATGTGTTATTATTACTGTTGTTTTTTTGCTTTTATTATGCTTCATATAATTATAATTAGTAGCGATGTTAGTATTAAGAGCATATGTAGTTGTCTTATCATTTTTATTATATTAATGTCATTACTTAATATCTAATTCATCACGTTAATATAATGCCATTATTAGTATCATTTAGTTTTAGTATTCTTATTTTACTAATATTCGTAGCCTTAGTATTCCCGTCATTCCTAGAATCATTACCTTTATCACCACAATTCCTCCTCCTGCAGACCTGCGAAGAGGCCTCCCTTGCCCTCACCGCCCATCTCCTACATTGGTTCCTCGCACACAGGACCTCGGTCACAGGACTTGCAAGAATGTAAGGACTCTTTGACCCAGGACTCTCTCTCCAGCATCTTTTGGGTTCAGGAGGTTCATCCCAGGCATCGAAGGACTTCGGAGAGACTTTGTGAGTGGTTTTTCCTTTTTTTTTTGGGGGGGGTGATTATTGTCTTTGGGGTTCGTTCGGGCGTTGTTTATTGATGTTAATAATTTTGGTTGTGGGGGGATAGTTGTCCTTTGGGGCTTTTATTACTATTGTTGTTTAGATGTTTTTTTTTGTATCGCTAATGTTATTATTGTGCATCATCATCCGTTATTTATTGATTTTAGTAAAGCAGTATCGTCACTATTGTCATCATGATAACATTTCAAAAATACGATAATTTAAGTATTACCACCAAATTAGTATTTTACGCATTTAACCAGTCTAGAGAACATACTAACCCAAACTTTAGGTTGACGAAGAGGAAGGCCTCCGAACGCACCAGAGCTCGGTTTTCCCTTTGGCAACATCAACCCCGCCTTCGACACGACCGTTAAGGAGAAATACACGCCAAAGAGTAACGGTTTTACTCCAGAGAAAGGAGAGTTCAAAACTTTAAACGTGCTGCGCGGGGGAAATGGTCTTTATTTTTGAAACCCATTTTTTAGCATTTTTGTATATGTGTTATATAGAATACCTGTTCTTACGTGCTCGTGGTATGTGCACGCGTGGTAGAAGTTTTAGCATAGATATATGTATATTTTTTCCCTCTTTCTTTCTTTTCGTATTTGCTTTGTGGCATTCTATGAATATTTTTTTTTTGATGTGTGGAATGCGTAGATTGAATGTTGATTTTTGAGTGTTTTTTTTCTTTAGGTCAGTGTAGATGACCGTATTTTTATGTCTGATCGAAATAGGTTATATTTCTGTTATTGATTTAATTAAGTGACTTATCAGGTTCCGTCCACGGTGCAGAAAAGTAATGTGGTTCTTGATATTTTATGATGTATCGTCAGTATTACTACTGAATTACTATCGTTATCATTATTATTATCATTGTGATCGTATTATTTCATTTAGCAGTTGTTACATAATATTGTATAATTATGTATTGTTATTATACTTATTATATTATTATATCATTTTATTATATTATTATTAGCATAAAGGTCAAAGAAAATTAAGCTTTCATAATAGGTTGAGTTTTTTAAGACATCCACGTTGAAAGATATTTATAGTCTGATTTGATTTAATTACTACTATAATATCCTCTGTCTTTTTTTAGATACAATTCCTGGATGAAACACAAGAGTGATTCAGGACATGATATCAACTCACGCACACACATACACAGAAATCCATACATACAGTTATGGTTAAAACTCAAATTCAAATTCGTCTCGACGCCCAAATCACGTGACATTTGTTTATGTTTGGAATGCTTCGAAGCTTCATTCACGACATGAGTTTTATTCGTTTGATTGAGAAAGGCTAGATCAGTAGCAACTCGAGGAGGTGTCATGGCGTCTGTTTTAATGATTGTTTAGTGAAAAATAACCATTAAAATATTATTTTCCATCCTTTTTGAAAATTAAAGAGACCAAAATGATCGACCATTCACAAAGCATCCGTAACTTCTGTGACGTCATCAAAATAAATCCCATGTTTTTTTTTTTCAAAAAAATAGAATCAGACGCCATGACACCTCCTCGAGTTGCTACTGATCTAGCCTTTCCAGTTCGTCGTGATTATCCAACTGCTTTAAACAAAGCTCTACCTCTCAATTCTGCCTCAGTAAAACCTCTAATTTACATAATATCGGTTGCTGTTATGACGAATGGATTACATACCCACATGCGGATGCACATTTATTTATTGATAGTTATGTTACTACTCTAGAAACAACAAAGGGTATTTATCCACATTCTTTGCTGTTAAAAAAAAGGAAAAAACTTATTTACATATACAGATGTATATTTAAAGACACAGAAGGCAGTGAGGTATAGTATGTACAAAAAATCATATATTGTTTACATGGCATTGATTACAGACCTAAACTAGTGGCCTAGGGCCTTCGACAAATAATATAGGCAGTAAGATTAAGATTACGCTTACAAATTCGATGACTAAGTGACAAAAATAAATATACTTTTCCATTCGAAGGATTTAATCACACTTCACCACCTACTAATTCGAAACACACACACAAACACAACTCGCGATCGTCTAAACCTATTTCAGTCTGCACACAAAAGTCATAAATCGAAAATGATGTTCAACACACACTGCTTCACAATCAGCTGTTGCTTTAACGTGTTCTGAAGCCACAGGTTACGAACGTATAAATTTTGTTCTAGATTTATCATTTCGCTTCACAGTCTATGAACTCTTGATGCATTGATATTTACTTTCATTTGTTATTGTCGATAACCTGGGTAAAATTTATGATATTACCACTAACAATATCGCATTATATTTCGGATAATATTGTACAGTATCCCAGTATTATCAGTAATAATGCTCGTTACAGTACGCTATATTATTCAATGAATATCAGATAAACAGGGAGTATTTATCTAATGTGGTTTTGGTGATAGGTGTCTATACTCCTTTAAGCTATTCAAGCTCAATCTCAATAGATCCTTTTATTACAACACGCTAGGTTTTAGGACAAGATCTCTAAGAAAAAGACTGTAAATGTTGGGTGTTTTTCTCGACGACTGATCATTCTTAAACTACTGTTACACCTGTAGAAAAAGGATGAATGAAACCGAGAAATGAATGAATGAAACTAGAAATAAAAAAATCACGTGTAGGACCGGTTTCGACTACATCTTCGTCCGATAGTCCAAATCGGTCCAACACATCCCATACACTGCGAAAATACTCAATTTCATGCATCCCCTTTCACCTAGTGTAACAGCAATCAAAAAAACACACTTGTCGCAATGAACACAATATCCTGTTGTGCCCTGCAACGTTCTTGCCTAGCAATCTTGCTGACCTACGTTCGATTCCCGTGCACTGCCAGTGGATGGCAACCCCGGCCATTCCTTTCACACAGGGGGCAGTTTAGAAGCACAATAAACAGACAAACCACAATTCGACTGATACCTAAAGAGCCTGTCACAGCAATCCCTATATTATTACCATCGATATCACTTTTATTCATACTGTACACCCGTCACTCGTCCTCAAAGATGGGTCGTCGGGATCGTGAGACTTGTCGACCCGTCCTCGTCGTCTACGGACATGGCGCTGTTCTCGAGGCCGAGGTCTTCGCTGCGCCCGTCCTCCTCCTCCTTCTCCTCCTCCAGGATTCCCAAGCTGCTGGAACCGTCCTCGAAGGCGGAGTCAGACATCGACGACTTCAACTTCGCAGGGTCTTCACGTGGGAGCGCCGGGCGTCCAGCACGACGGGCGGCTTGTCTGTCTTCCCTCCTTCAGGGATCCGTCCAGCGTCCTCGGGGGAGTTTGGAGATGATGGAGGTCAGGTCGCCGGAGGTCAGGTCGCCGCCGTCCTTCTCGGAGGTCGAGGTCTCGCGAAGTTCGTCTAGCTCGTCGTTCTGTGGGGTGTGGTGGAAGGGGAAATTTACAAGGGACTGCGATTAAATGACAAGAAAGAAAATTACAAGGAAAGAAAGAAAGAAGAAAAACGACAAACAAAGAATCACAAAGGAAAATGATAAAACAAAATCTAAAGAATGAGGCAGGAAAAGGGAAAACAACGAAATACAAATGAAAAAGAAAAAGAAAAAAAAGAAAAAAGAAAAAAAATCAAAGATAAAAAACAACCACAAAAAATATCACAAAGCAAATTGAAAATAAAGAATATCACAAAGGTATTTTTTAAAATCACAAAAGAAGAAGAAAAAAAAGGATACAAAGACAAAATAACAAGAAAAAAGAAAAAGAAACTAGAAAAAAAACGAAACTAGCAATGAAAAATTCACCAAATCCTCACCAGATTCTCCCCGACGGCCCTCAGCGCCGGCACCCACTTCCTCAGCCACAGCAACGGCGGCGAGAGCGTGCGGGGATCGAGACTTCCCAGATCCCTTCCGCCCGTCAGCAAGGAGACCACCAATCCTACGACAATCACCGTAAAGCATCCTGTAGCGGAGTACCACATGTAGGACAGGTTGTAGAGTCCTAGGATTCCTGAGGGAGGTCTGTTGGGGGTAGAACAGAGAATGGTGGTGGTGAATGCGTGTATTTGAAAAGGTGGTATGGAGCTTAGAAGAAAAAGGGTATGCAATGAGACACAAGGTTCAAAACAGTATCAAAAGTGGCACATAGCTCAAAATTGGGCATCAAAAGAGGCCCAAAATTGGGCATCAAAAAAGGCACAGCTCAAAATTGGGCAGAAATAGAAATAGACTGGATATAGGTATGATGGGTGTTAAATTACGCTTAGATATTATTTGAGAAAGATTTGAACCTTAGAAATGGTCGTTAAAAAACACATCCTTACACAAACACACACACACACACACACACACACACACACACACACACATATATATATATATATATATATATATATATATATATATATATATATATATATATATATGCCTAACCCCGCCCCCCACTTAATCTCAAATCCCTTACTCAGTGGGCACAAACGAGGTCTCAGAGGAGGTCAAGAAGGCCGCCTCGGTCGACGCGAACCCGGCGGTGGTTCCGGTGAAGTTGCAGCGCTGACGCTGAGCGGCTTCTTCGGGTACGTGACGTCACCCGTCGCGAGGCCGACCTGCGTGCCGACGCCGATCCAGAACATGAAGGCGAGGCCGCAGACGTGGCCGACGGCGGCGCCCTGCGGGGAATAATAAGAATAATAAGATAATAATAAGAATAAGAAGGAGAATAATAAGGTAAGAAAAAATAACTATGATGGTAATGATGATAATGATGATGATGGCGGTGGTGATGACCGTCATCGTTATTACAATTATAATCCTGGCTTTACTGTGCTTTGGTGTCTGTTTGGTTGTCTCGGTTGCTCTCTGTATCTGTCTCTGTTTTCCTCTCTCTCTCTCTCTCTCTCTCTCTCTTTATTTGACTTTGACGTCTATTTAGTTGTCTCTGTATCTGTCTCTGCTTCCCTCTCTTTCTCTCCATCTCTCTCTCTCTTATCTATCTCTCTCTCCCCCCTCTCTCTAAAGCAACGTTTCTTAACCAAGGGAGTACTAGCACCTCCTAGGGTAATGACATAATATTTCGGGGTCGCTGGGAAGTACTGAATACATGGCGGTAAAACATCACTTCCTAGCAAACCTCGACCAGCTTTGTGGTTGACCAGATGCTAGCCGGAGTTAGGGGGTGCTAGACTGCCCTGACCTGACCACAGGGGTGCTAGGGCCGGAAAAGTTTAAGACGATACTCTAAAGGCAAAGACACTGCCAATACAATATCCCATAATAGTAACGTAATATTGACAAATAGAAAAATAAATTATAAATAAAATAGATAAACAGATAAATGAATAAATGAAAATAAAAAATCCCTACACCCCCTCGATAAACTACAAACGAAACACGAACAACCAACCACCCGATGCCCGTAACTTAAGACATCTGTTTACAACGAATTTCCTTACTTTCACAACGACACGAAATCTTGACCGAACTCACCACGCTGTTGGCCCAAGGGAAGAACATACCCAAGGAGAAGAGACCGAGAAGAGGTCCTCCCACCATGCCAAAGATGCTAAGGGCAGCCTGGAGAAAGTGGAAAAGTTGTCAGTCCTGAGCGTAAATATAAGCTGTGTGTTTGATGGATATTTAGACAGTTGTAAACAAACTCACACGCAAGTACATAAACACACACAAACACACACGCAAGTACATAAACGCACACAAACATACAAACAGATATACAAGCACGCAAACACATGGAGTCAAGTATACATACAAATCCAAACACAACAAAACAACAAACACAAGCCCTAATCAAAACACAATTCCGAACACACAAACAAATAAACATAAAAACACACGACCCAAAACACAAATCGAACACCGAACTGAAACCTAAACAAACACATAACACACAAAGAATCACAAACAGATACAACCCTAGCAAATATACAAATAAGCACAAACAAAAACCATCACAGACTCACAAATAAACACAAATTCACAAACAAACAAACACACCAACCCAAACAAACCACCTCAAACACTCATAAACAAATACCACAACCTAAACTCACAAACACACCAAAACCCTAAACAAACCACCGCAAACAAACAATCACAAACAAATATAACCCAAAAAACTCACAACCACTACACAACCCAAACCACAAACTCCACAAACTCACAACCACCACAAACAAACAACAAATTCACAACCCACTACAACACCACAAAAACAAACAAACCACAACCAAACAAAAACAAACTCACAACCACTACACAACCCAAACAAACTCACAAACCACACACAACCCAAACAAACTCACAACCACTACACAACACAAACAAAACCCAAACCCGAAACAAACTCACAAACACTACACACCAAAACAAACAAACAACCACAACCCAAACAACTCACAACACTACACAACCCAAACAACAAACAAACCACAACCCAAACAAACTCACAACCACTACACACCCAAACAAACTCACAAACCACACACCACCCAAACAAACTCACAACCACTACACAACACAAACAAACAAACCACAACCCAAACAAACTCACAACACTACACAACCCAAACAAACAAACAAACCAAACCACAACCCAAAAACAAACACATCACACAACCCAAACAAACTCACAAACACCATCACAACCCAAACTCACAAACAAACACCACCACAACCCAAAACAAACACCATCACACAACCCAAACAAACTCACAAACACCACCACAACCCAAACTCACAAACAACCAAACCACCCCCACCCCAACCACCACACCCCACCCTACCGACAAGACGCCCCCGAGCTGCTCCGCCACGAACACGAGGGCGAACGTCAAGAGCCCGAAGAGGAGCGACAGCAGCTTGGAGGCCACCGTCGACGCCCTCTCGGAGATGGTCTTGTAGCAGCCGTTCTTCAGGAAGTCTTCGAGGACAATGGCGGCCAGGGAGTTCATGCCGGATGAGACGGTGCTGTGGTGGGGGGGGAGAGAGAGGGGTGAGAAGGGGAAGGGGGGGGGGAGAGAGAGAAGGGGGGGAAGGGGGGAGAGAGGGAGGGTGGAGGTTGGGGGTGAGAGAGGGGGAGGAAGGGGTAAGAGTGGGAAGGAGGCTGAGAGGGAGGATAGGGTGGGGTGAGAGAGGGGGAAGGAGGGATGAGAGTTGGGGGCGGAGAGAGAGAGGGGGGGGGAGGAGATTGTGAGGTGGGGGGGAGAGAGAGAGAGGGGGATGAGAGGGGGAAGCGGGGAAGGGGGGGTGAGGAATATCAATATATACTTAAATGAAATATCAATTATACTGGATTATCTGGTAATTTAGATATTGTTATACTTACTAGAGGTAGAGCCATCATATCCTTCTTTAATTTATGATAATGACGAGGTCTTAATCATGAGAAGCCATTCGATATCATGGAAAAAAGGTTAAATGGAAATAGTAATTCCCTCCCCTTGCACCCCATCCTATCCCATCCACCCTACCTAACCCCTACCCCACCTATTCAGCCTCCCTCCCACTAATTCCACCCCACCCATTAATCCCTACCCAACCATACCCACCTCCCATAATTTTCCACTTCTACCCCCACTTCACCTACCTAACCTCCCCACCCCAACCCTTAACCCCACCATCCTACCGCAAACTTCCCATCCCTAAAACAACCCATTACCCTATACCCCACCCATCACCCAACATACCTAACCACCTCCATTCTCCACCCTCCCCCACCCTACCATAACCCCATCCCCTAACCCACCTCCCCTTACCAACCACCCCACCCACCTTTCCACCCACCCCCTACTTCATCCCACCCACCCCCACCTCTCCTCCCCCACCCACCACACCACAACCTGAGGGCCCGGCGAAGATCCCCGCACGAAGAGCCGGCAGGCCCTCCAGCCGCGAGGATGTCCATGACAAAGAGGGGCATCAGCTGATCGGCCGAGCTGACCACGCCCGCGCTGATGGGGTCGCAGTCCCAGTAGCGGGCGAAGATGACGAGGCCCCCGAAGGCGCAGGAGATCATGAGGACGAAGAGGCCCGCCATGTTGATCCAGAGGGCGCGTTCCACCATCGCCTTGGTTCTGACGCAGAGGTAGCGTTGCACCTGCGGTAGGAGAGGGGGAGGAGGGGGGTGGGTGGGTGGGTGAGGGGGAAAGGGGGTGGGTGGGTGAGGTAGGGAGAGGGGAGGAAGGGGGTGGTGGTGGGTGAGGTGGAAGGGGGGAAGGGGGGGGAGTTATGGTTAGAGTTTCTATTTCTATATTTAGTTTTGTTTCTATTTGGATTCATTTTTCTTTTCCTTGCTCTGTCTCGATCTGTTTTTGTTTTTTTCTCTCTTTTTCGCTCGCTCTCTCTCTCTCTTTCGTCTCAATCTCTCTCTTCATTTTTCTTTCCTTTGCTTTGTCACGATCTGTTTTCTTTCTCTCTTTTGTTTTTTTTCTCTCTTTTTCGTTTCTTCTCTCTCTCTCTTTCATTCTTTCCTCTCCCTTCTTCTTTCGTTCTCTCCTCTCTCTCTCTTTCTTTTTCCCCCCAAATGGTAGTAATAGTAGTAATAATAGTAGCAATAACAAAAATCCAGAACAACGAAAATGATAGTAACGATAATGAAAATAATTATGATAATAATACAAAATGGTGACGATAATAATGACTAATAATGATAATGATCAAAGTAATCACTATAGTACTAGCAACTGCTGGACCAATCTCAAAAACAAACAAAAACAAACAAACAAACAAAATATCCCACGCAATATCCCACACATTACGCAGGTAAACAGATTCACACCTATAAATAATCTCCTTAATTAGCCCAGGCACGTGGATGACACATACCATTATCACAAGGCGTATTGTTTAATTGCTGTCATGAGTGTGTGCGTTGCGTATGAGTGAGTGTGTCTGCCTCGTTCTCGCTGTCTGCTTCTTTTTCTTTCTTTCTCTCTCTTTGTGTCTTTCTTTCTTTCTCTCTCTTTGTCTTTTTGTGTCTTTCTTTCTTTCTCTCTCTTTGTCTTTTTGTGTCTTTCTTTCTTTCTCTCTCTTTCTTTTGTTTTTTCCTGTCCGTCGTTTTTTCTTTCTCTTTCTCTTCGTTCGCTCCTTTCTCTCTTTTTCTTCCTTTTCTACTTCTCCTCTCTCTTCTTTTCCTTTCCTCTGTATCTCCCCCTCTCTCTTTTTTTCTCTCTCCCTCTCTTTCTCATATTCTAGTTCTGTCTCTTTGTCCGGGCTCTCTGTCTGTCTGTTTATTTATTTCTGTTTCTCAGTCTGTCTGTCTCTCTATTCCAATACTTAGCAAAATCGAAAGAAAAATGAAGTTCGTGCATATTTTCAGATTTCTATCATTATCATTATTGTTTTGTACCATTATTCATCGCTCATCACGGAAGATCCTGCTATTTAATTGTAGTTTATATTTGCTTGATAGTATTTCGTCTGCAAGTGTTTCCTTGTTTAGATATTAAAAAAAGTGCTCCGATAACTTGCAGCGATGAGTAATATTAATCGCTGTACTAATCACTTCATTGTAAATCAATTAATAAAATCTAACATTTTATCTACTCCATTTTTTCTTATCATTAAACGCAAATTATCAACTTATTTACCACAATTAACGTACATTACACGAATGCGACGCTAGGGCTATGATTTCGGCGTTAATTAGAGTTAATAATCAATAATTGCTTCTATAGCATGATGTAAGAATTTATATAAAATTGTAAGACATGTAATAGGCTCGAAAAAATAACTGAAGTGCAGACGTAATTATAGTAAATAATAAAGCTACAAAAACCTTAATCCGAAGTCTAGGCTCCATCAACGCATTCGAACAGTTTGCGGTAATGGCGGTAACGATGATTATCAACAACCAATCCACTGCTTATGTCGCGCTACAGAAGCACAATGCTACTTACGAGACACAACGAACGCAAAAGAACAATGATTTACAGAACATTTAACGGGTAACAATGAATATCTGACGGTTTGTTTTGAAAGACCGCATTTTTAATATTGGCAAGGCAACGACCGACAGTTAACGCTTAAATCCCCATTGTTTCAACTGGTGCGTTTTTTTTTTTTTTTTTCTTTTTGTTCTTGTCCTTATCCTTAGTCTTTTTCTTCGTCGTCATTCGTTTTTATTTCTTTCTCTTTATCATCTCATTTTTTTCCTCATCTTCATTGACATCATCTTTTTATTCTCCTCCACCTATTCCACCCCTCCTCCTCTCTTTTTCCTATTTTTTCCTCCTTCTCTTTATTTTCCCCCTTTTCTCCTCTTCTTCCTTCTTCTCCTCCTCCCCAACTTCTTTCACTTACTCCTCCTCCCCCTCTT